TCTCAAATAAATAAATAAATAAAAATAAGACATTACGAATAGGGACACAAGTTAGGGCCAACCCATGAAATCAAGGATGATAGGCTGAACTGAAGATACGGTGATGCAATAGGAGATGAAGATTCAAATGAGAAAGTAAAATAAGATGTTTACAAATAAGCCTACAAAATAATTTGTGATTACTAGATATAAAAGGTAAGAGAAAAGAAGTAGAAAATAACACTCAAGTTCACGGCTTGTATACCTGGGCAGAAGGTGAGTCAAAGCATTTTTAAAAATCAGTTTTAGGGCCAGCAGGTGGCATGGAGGTTAAGGTACTGGATCCCACATGGCTAACTCTGTGGTTCAAGTCTTGGTCCCAGCAGCTTGATAATCATGTTGGGCACATGTACATGTGTGCCCAAAATCTCAAGAGGAGACTGGAGGAGAGGGGGCTGCAGCATGGCCATCTCCCCAGGGTGTGATTTTTCACTTTTACTATCTCCCTCTGGTGAGTGCACGTGCCCTATAACAAAAATTAAACACACATGTACAAACAATTTAAAACATGCTAAATATAACTGTGTGTCACACTGGTAAAGATGTTTATTAGACATCGGAATACATAATATAAGCAGGGAGCTCATAAAAGGGTTTTAGTCTAGAGACACAACTTCAGGAGGTTACTATGTAATAGTAGTAAGCCATAATAATAGATAAGAATGTATCAGAAGAGAAGAGCAAGGTCCATATTAGAGGACACCAATAGTAGAAGTGTTTTACTGTTACTATTTTCCATGAAAAGTATAACCCTAGATTATATAAATTTTGGGTAAAATTTTGTACTTTGGCTATACCTAATCAGTACATTTAACTGTATATTACTATTTCTACAGCTATGCTCACTATAAAACCTGTCTTAAATGAAATAGCTTGTACCAGTTTCAAGCTTCCATTTAGAACTAAAAAAAAAAAAATTGAAATTAAAGTAAAAACAAACAAAATCACTTACTTGAAGACACTGAAAAGCTATTCAGTCAGTCAAGGTTTGAGTTGCAAGATAGTGTGAAGAAGAGGAGCTTACTGAGATGAGCCCTCCACACAACGTTTCCCTTAGGGCATTTGCCAAATTTTAGAGAAGAAAGACTGACTGAAACTCTAGGATCGAGACGAGACACTGGGAGTCAGAGAAACCAGCTCAGTGTCTGGTGATCGCAAAGGACTAAAGAGACAAGAATTAGACCTTGGGTGAATTTAAGAGAACCCAACCCCAGAAGGAAGGTGGAGCAAAGAAGTAAACAAGATACTTAGAAATTTCCCTTTTGAGGCATTTTCTGATTTTTAGCTCCTTAGGAGAACTGAAGGAGACAAGCAAAAGCAAATCTGGAAAGAAATATGGTCCTGGAACACAAACAGGAGGGGAGGTCCTAGTCAATATACCAGCTCTCACATTGGGTCCAGAGTGCTTCAGGCCCTATCAACAATGGCAAAACAAAACCAGACGAAGGCACACAGAGATGTGACCCAGTAGCCTCAGTAAACTTACTCAGTTAGAGTTTCCAGACAGGAGATAGGGGAACTACATCTAGTGTCACTGTAATTGCTTAAACGCTCAACGTCCACAATAAAAAGTAGCACAATATAATGAAATAGGAACAAAAAAAAAAAATGAGACACTGCAAACAAAACCCCAAACCATCCATATATGGACGTAAAACTAACTGCGATTAATATTCTCAGTAAAATAATAAGATGATGTTTTTAACCAGAGAACTGATTAAAAAAAAACTAAACAAATTGGAATTCTAAAATTACCAAATAAAATACTCTGGGCCAGCAGGTGGTATGACAGTTAAGGCACTAGATTTGCGCATGGATCCAGCAGCTTAAAAATTACACTGCACAGGTGTGTGTATGCCCGAAATCCCAAAAGGAGAATGGAGGAGAAGAGATTGAGGTATGGCCATCACTCCTTGGAGGAGCGGGTGATTTCTCACTTTCCCTCTTTCTGTCTCTCTTCTGTAAGTTTATGTACCCTAAGGCAAATATATATATAATACATATATGCGTGTGTGTATTAGATGTGTGCATGTATGTGTGTGTATATACATATATATGTGTGTGTGTACACACACACACACATAATACCCTGAATTTCTTTTTTTCTTTTTAGTTTTTTGCCATAGGGAGTGTGCATTTGTTAGAGAGATGGAAAGAGGGAAAGTGGGAAATCACCCCACCCCCACCCCCCAGGGATAGATGGCCATGCCACAATCCCTTCTTCTACATTTGCCTGGGATTTAGGGCATGCAAGCATACACACCTGATTTGATTTTCTAGCTGCTGGGTCTGGGATTCAAACTGCATTGGCCATGTGGGAGTCCAGCACCTTAATCACTACGCCACCTGCTGGCCCCAGTACCCTGAATCGAAAAGCTCAATAGATAGTTCAATTGGACAATGAAGAACACAGCTGAAGAAAAGACGAGCATATTGAAAAATGAGTAGGGAAAAAAATCTAGATTCTTAACAAAGGAGTGAAAAATATGGAGAATATGGGAAACCATAAGAGAAATATAGAAAATGGTGAAATCAGACAATAGTTTAATTAGAATTACAAAAAGCTTAGCCAGCTGTGGTTGTGCAGTAGCAATGCAATGCTCTGTGATGCTGAGGCCATGTGGGAAGCTGCTGGGGGTACAGCCCAAGGTCTCCCTGATACCCTGGGCAGGTTTGTACGCTCATGATCTGGGCTGGCTGAGGCTGGGGTGGAACTGCAGCACAAAGGTATTGCTGAGGGTGCCCGTCTATCTCTAACTCTTTTTCTATCTCTCTGATTCCTCTCTTATGAAATAAAGAAATAAAAATGTGTGTTTTTTTTAAAGGAGAGGAAGTAGAGGCAGTATTTAGATATAATCACCAATAATATTCTAAAGCAAATGAAAGCTATCAACTCACAAATTTATGAAATACTACAATCTTTAGAAACTTAATCATATAGACTATGTGAAATAAAAAACAAAGACAATATTGAAATCAGCCAGAGAACAAAAAGATGATACATCACTTACAAAGACGTAAGAATATGAATGACAGCTAACTTTTTAAAAGAAATAATGAAAGCCAGAAGAAAAAAATTATTATTTAATTTAAAAGTTTTTTTTTTTTTTTGAATTGTTGGAGGGTATCTGGACTCGCAGTGAAAGACAAAGAGATGGAGGAAAGAAGGCATTTTCCAACAGGGGCATGGTCACACCATAGACTCTTCTCCTCCATTTTTCCATCAAGTCAAGACTTGGGGCATGAAATACACATGTCTGGCATGTTTTTAAAGTTGCCACAGTCAGGCTTTGAACGATGGTTGGCCATGTGAGGATCTGGGTCCCTTAACTACTAGGCTATGAGGCTGGCATAAATAATATTATTTTAAATAGAAGAAATATACTGCCAAACAGAATTCTATACCCAGCAAAAATATTTTTCAAAGTGAAAATAAAAGAAAGACATTTCCCAGTGAACAAAAATTACAGAAATTTTTACAAGCAATTTGTGTTAAAGGGAATCTTTCATAAAAAGAAATACAGTGTTTTACATAAAAACATAAAAATAGTTACTTAATAAAATAAAGAGGAACAAAATAATACAAATCAAATGGCTATTTATGATAGAAAATAAGTGATAACAATATTTCTGGTATTTAAAATACATGCAGAATAAATGCATGACATTAAGTAAAAAGGGGGTAAATAAAAAAACTTAAGTTCCTATTGTTTGGAAAGTAATAAAAATCTGAATAAGTCATAAACATATTCAAAAAAGAAAATAAAAATGAGTTGTACCGTAGGATCACAGAGAAAACAAATAAAAAAACTACATATACGCATATATACCCAAATATATTAGCAATTTAGTAATTTCATTGAAATGTAAATTGGCTCAATATTCTAATTAAAGTCTAAAATTATCACAGTGTATTTAAAAAGACAACTCTAATTATATACTTTTTACCAAAAAACACAACTTAAAAACATAGAAAGTTTAGTCATTTCATTATTTAGAATTTTACTTTTTCTCTTATTTTTATTAGATCAAGGGAGTTAGTTGTGCTTTATAATTAAAAAGTGTTTCGTCTTGTGTTTGCAGGTGGAGTCAGTAAAAGGGTAAGAGTGGTCCTCAAAATCATAAGATACCAGATTCAGGCTTAAGTTATACATAAATGTATGTGGGTATAAAGAATTGTTAGATGTCAAAATTACTAGGATCCTTTGACAAGAGTATCTAAGAAGGATCATGTTGACTTTGTCTCATTCCCAAGAACTTTTGCAGACACTCCACTCATTCCGATAGTCTTAGTATTTAGGAATCTTATGGGCCATTTCCCACTTTTCTCAACCTCCAAAAAACATAATGCTATGCTACAAACATTTTCACTGACTTTTTATTAACCATACATAGCACTCTGGGGTCACTAGATATTATTGTTTGCGTCAATCTAAGAAATTACGCTAAAATAAACATTACTGTGACCTATTTAATTCAGCAACTCACTTGAAAAATATTACATCCATCAAAAAAACTTGGGAGTCCATAGTTCTGTTTTCTTTTTCTTTAAAGAGAGGTTTTTGCAATAGGGCACATGCGCATGCCAAAGACACAAAGACAGAGAGAGAGAAAATGAGAAACCACCCCTGAGGGGATGGCCACACAGCAATCCCATCTCCTCCATTCACTTCTCAGGATTCTGGGTAGGCACGCACATATGCCTGGCATGAGTTTCAATGCACTGGGTCTGAGATTCAAACCATGGTCAACCAAAGAGAGTCCAGCACCTTAACCACTAAGCCACCTGCTGACCCACAGCCCATAGTTTTTTATTTAAAGTAATATTTGGAGAAAGCAGAACTTCAGACAGTGTGGTACTCCTTCAATCAAGCTCTTGGGCAACTACTTCCCGTGTCTCCGAATACAGCTGCCCGGGTATGCAGAAGCTAAGATGGCAACATACCGCCTGGTGTACTTACAGATCACCGTGGATGAGTCCATAGATCTGCGGCATGCTCTGATGATAGATGCCTCTCAAAATAATGATGAGGAGAATCACCACGAAAGCTGGAAGTCCCCAACTCAGAAAGAAAAACAGCAAGTATCTCCTCTCTGTGTGTTCATCATTCATCACCAGCACATACCAGAAGTTCACAGACTAAGAACAAAAACAGAAACAAAACCACTACATGAACAGGCTCCGGTCTTAATGACACAGGACAATCCTGAGCTGGTTTAGGAATACAGTATTACTGATCAACAAAAGGCTCATATCAACTCGATAATTACAGTACTGATTTTGTTTGTTTGTTTAGTTCATACAATTCATTCTTTCATACATTTAAGAAATTCAGGGACTGGTTACAGGGCACAGTGGTATACACTGCTCAAGAGAAGATGGATCCCACATGGCGACTGTGGTTCAAATCCCTGGTCCTAACAAGCTGAAGGACTGGAGGAAGGGGATTGTGGTGTGGCCTCACTCTGTGGGGGGTGCTCATCTCTCTTTTTCTCCATCAGACTCACATGTATCCATGTGCTCTATTGCAAATAAAACAAAAAGAAAAATTCAGGTTACCTCAACAGTTTGGAAACAGAGAAATATTTAGTTCATTATATATTTTATTTTACTGAAGGTGCTGTGCTGATTTAATCTCAGTCCTAATCTGTGATTGTTCTACAAATGGACCTTTGAAGAAATATACACCAGGGACCAGCAGTTAGCGTAATGCCTATGTTGCTGGACTCCCATGTAGTCGACTGCGGTTCGAGTCTCGGACCTGGTGGCTTAAACTCACGCCAGGTGCATGTGCGTGCGTGCCCAAGATCCCGAGAGGAGAATGGAGAAGGGATTGCGGCGTGGCCATCCCCCCTGGGGGGTGATTTCTCACCTTCTGTCTCTCTGTCTCTCTCTGTCTGGCGAGCGAACGCGCCCTATAGTGAAAACCTCTCAAAAAAAAAAAAAAAAAGAAAGAAAGAAAGAAAGAAAGAAATGTACACTGATACTAAAACCAACTTCCCATGTAAACAACTTCATGATGATAATGAAATAAATAACCTGGCACTTCCAGACTTTTTGACAATTTTCATTTTTGACCGTCTATCACGTGGTAGAGCCAGACCGTGTTCCAGCGAGTGGGGATAAAACTGTGAATACAGCCCCAGACTCCGCACCCAGTGAGAGACACTGACAAGGAGACAAAGTAATTGCACAAAGAGAAAAGTACTTTGATGGGGTAGGTCTTGGGCTCATTTTTCTTACTTTATACTCTTCCCTTTTTGCCCACTCATGTGACAGGTTTTTTTGGAGATTTTTGCCTTAGGGTGTGTGTGCTTGCTGGAGAGAGAAAGACAGAGACAGTAAGAAGGAAAGTGAGAATTCACCCCCAGGGGGGCTGGCCATGCCACAATCCCATTTCCTCCATTTTCTTCCCAGGATCTTGGGCATACATGCACACATGCCCAGTGTGGTTTTGAAGCCACCATGTTTGGGACTTGAACCACTGTCAACCATGTGGCAGTCCAGTGATGTAACTGCTACACCATCTGCTGGTCCTTCACTTGACAAATATTTACTGAGTGCTAAATTTCAGAGACTAGTCTAGGCACTGAGGATACAGCAGTGAAAGAGATGGGAGAGGTATTTACTTTATTGAATCTTAGTTTTCAAACAGGTAGGAAATTATTAAGGGCAATATTTATTTTACATTTCAATCATTTCTTACATCTATGATTTCTGATCTTATTAAGATTAAAAATACAAAAGGGACAAGTATATAAAGAAGGAGGGGGGTGAAAAGACATGTTGATAGATGGAGTATGGAACTGAGGCTTGTAAATGTAATTATCGGCCTCAAGTCCCAAGACTAGCTTGTATTTAAACCAAATCTAGAACTTACATATTCTGACTTTCAATGCTCTCTTTCCAGGGTGAATGCTCATATTTAATTAAAATTTAATACAATAACAACATGGAATATAATTTCATAGTATATTTCACTAACACCTATTCACTAGATAAAGTTCCCTCTCAATTTCATATGGTGGACAGACTATTGAGTACAGATGGATCTCTTTCTCATACGCACACACGTGCACACACACACAAAGACTACGTTACAGTTATAATCTTGGACGAGTAACAATATTCCCAGAATCTTAATTTCTTCATGTGTACAATAAGATCATATAAAGATTAAATGAGGTATTACATGTAAAGTATTGATCACACACATAGTAACTACTGTAAAATGTGACTACATTCCTTAAATACCTTTTTTTAGTTTTATTTTTTATTATCTTTTAATACATTCAATCACATTTAGCTTACAAAGTGTAAATCTTCTTTTAAGATGTCCAACAATGTGAAAGACACAAGGTAAATATGAAGAGTAATAAAAAAGTTCATGTGTTTTATGTAGAACTACGATTTGTTTGCACCCAAATAAATCTGCACTTTTATTCCTTTTACTCCTACATAATGCCTTTCTTTGTCTCTTTTTATGGTTTTTGTCTTAAAGCCTATTTTTTCCACTCAGTATAGTGACTCTCGCTCATTTTCGCTTTCCATTTGCCTGGAATACCTTTTTCCAGCCCTTCACTTTTAGTCTATGTATGTCTTTATCCACAAGATGGGTTTCTTGTAGGCAGCAGATGGAGGGTTTCTGATTTTTTAATCCACTCAGCCAGTCTGTGTCTCTTGATTAGAGAACTTAATCCATTAACATTCAACGTTGTTAACAATATTTCCAGACTTGTCCCTACCATTAAGTTGGCCATATACTTGGTTGTTTTTTATTCTCTTATTACTGTCTGTCTTTAGTTTTCTTGGTATAGTACTCCTTTCAGAATTTCTTTTCTTTTCTTTTCTTTTCTTTTTTTTTCTTTTTTTTTTTTTTTTTAAGAGGGTTTGCTTTAGGGTGCGTGTGCTCACCAGACAGACAGAGACAGACAGAGAGACAGAAAGCGAGAAATCACCCCCCAGGGGGGATGGCCACGCCGCAATCCTTTCTCCTCCATTCTCCTCTTGGGATCTTGGGCACACATGCACACACGCCTGGCATGAGTTTTAAGCCATCGAGTCCGGGACACGAACCACAGTCAACAATGTGGAAGTCCAGCGACATAGCCATTATGCTAACTGCTGGTCCCCCTTTCAGAATTTCTTGAAGAGCTCGTCTGGAGTTGGTAAATTCTTTCAGGTTGTGTTTACCCAAGAATGTTTTTCATCTTCTTTTCCCATATTAACGTTAATCTTGCTGGGTATAGTATTCTTGGTTGAAATTGTTTTTCATTTAACACTTTGAATATATTTCCCATTCTTTCCTTGCTTGTATGGTATCCAATGACAGGTCTGGTGTTAGCCTGATGGGATAGACTTTGTAAGTGATTTGACATTTCTCTGTTGACAATCTTAGTATCTTGTCTTTGTGGTTTTGGCCAATCTAGCTATGATGTGCCATGGAGAGGATTTTCTTGGAATGATTATACATGGCAATCTTTGTATTTCTTGGGTCTTACTATTTGAGTGCCTCTCTAGACTTGAAAAGCTTTCTTCCAGAATTTTGTTGAATAGATTATCAATAACCTTATTAGATTCTTCACCTTCTGGGATACCAATTTTTTGGATGTTTGGGCATTTCATAGTATCTAGTATTTCCCGTATAGTGTCCTCAGTTTTCTTGGCTGTTTTCTCAGTATTTTTTATAATTTTTTCTAGGTCAGATGTTTGCTCTTTTACTCCTGAGATTCTATATATTCTGCATGGTATAGCTTGCTTTTAATACTTTTGAGGGAGGTTTTGATTTCCTGTATTACAGCCTTCATATCTAACAGCTCTATTTGATTCTTTTTTATGGTGTCCAATTCTTCTTTCATATCATGGAAGGACTTTCTCATCTCTTGGAGCTCAATGCCTCTTTTCTCTTGCATCTCACAGAGTTTTGTTGCCATAAATAGTCTAAATTCTTTTTCCGACATTTCAGTAATATGCTCTAAATTTTCTCTACTTGGAGACGAGTTACAGTGTTCCCTTGCTGGAGATGTATTACTTGATTCTCTCATCCTCGAGGCTCTTCTCTGATTTTTAGTAATTTGGTAATGTATTCACTTTTGGGTAATTTGTTGGAGAAGGATTCTGTGACTGTGAGCTCATGTATTTCTCTTACTGTGAAATAGCTATTTTTTTCCCTTCTACTGTGTCCTCCAATGTGGGAATCACAAAAGAAGTTTTGCAATCGGATTTATGAAGGGGAATTTCACTCTTTTTGCAACCATTACAGTGAGGTGCAAAGAATTCTCTAAAACTCACAATGTTCAGATGTTTAGCTTCTATGTACCTAGTCTTCTCTAGGCAGTGTGTAAGGGTTGAACAGAAAAACAGAAAAGTAAGGTCAAAGAAAAAGAAAGTAGGAAACAGAAATAGGAATAAAAGGCAAAGAAAAAGGAAGGAAAGATCAGAACAAAAAGAGGAGAAAAAAAAACCAAAACAAACAGAAAACACGTGGTAGATAATGAAATTGGGTTGGGACCAGCAGTTAGCGTAATGGCTATATTGCTGAACTCCCATGTAATCAACCATGGTTCGATTCCCGGGCCTGGTGGCTTAAACCACACTGGGCACATGTGCATGTGTGCTCAAGAACCCGAGAGGAGAAAGGAGGAGAAGGGATTGCAGAGTGGCCATCTCCCCTGGGGAGTGATTTCTCACTTTCTATCTCTCTGTCTCTGTCTGTCTTGCGAGCGCACGCGCACTATAGCAAAAACCTCTCCCCCCTTTAAAAAGTAGAAAGCCACGTGGTATGGTTGAAGGGCCAACACAGTCAGAAGTGGAGGTGCTTGGATGCTTTCTGTCCTAGTTGTGGGAAGAGAAGACAAATTAACAAGAGAAAGGCACAAACAGTGCAGAAAGCTGTTTTGTTTTGTTTTGTTTTGTTTTTGTAAGAGAAAAATAAATTAGACAGGACAGAGAAGAACAAGAAGGAGAGGGACACTTGCCTCTCTGACTAGCACTGGGATCTGGAAGGGGGGACCCTGGGTGGAGGGGTGGGAGCGGGCTTCACAGCTGTGAATCTGAACCCAGAGGGTCAACACAGTCAGAGGTGGAGGTGCCTGGATGCTTTCTGTCCTGACTAGCACTTGGGCCTGGAAGGGGTGACC